AAACTTTGTTTTCTCTTCATTAAACATGCTTTGATTCCAACCGCAGAAATCGAAAAATGGCTGTTCTAGTTATAAAATCTATTCTGTGGTGATTTTTAAAGCTTTTGAGCAATGTGTCAAAGCATAAATTCAAGCAGAAACATGTGAGAGTGTCACAAAACATGAATCTCACCAATATCAAGCGGTTGATACCCCCACTGGTTATGTATGCAGAGCTTATTCGCAAGACATTTGCTTGTAACTTTACCAGTTGGTCGTCGGTAAGTCCGCTTTTTACACTGATACGAAGGTCGCTAGCCAACTTCACCTGCAAAAATACCTCAAAGTATGTGATAAGGCCAAGCAGTAAGCTTGTTGACGAACCACATCTAGATCGAAGAATTTACTATCCAGAAATATATCGGGCTCGACAACACCATTTGGGCATATAACAATTGTGCACCTGGGAGGTAACAACCGAACCAAATCGGACACGAGAAGTCTATTTTCCGTGCGGAGTTCTAGATAATTTGTCAACACCTGTGACGTTGTCTGCTTCCGCAGAAGTTCGTGCATAGCCGGAGTGACCGAAGCCTGCAAATAAATGTAATCGATTCTTCAACAGGATGTAGTGCGATGAAAAAACATTTTAAATCAAAACATAGATAGAAGGACTAGAGTTTTCGATTTATAATCGCCCACTTTTACCGTCTAAATCCATGATAGAAGGACCGCAGGAAGACTAAAGTAAACGCTTACATAGTTATGTAGTAGCCCAAAGATTCTAGGTTATATTCGGCTGAGAAATTGAAGCTGACCAAATGACCAGCATTTGATTTTTGGATCGCGTAAGCGGAGATGTTAATGGAAATGGAAGTGCGTCCGCGAATTACAGTGAACGGTTTTTACCTCCTTTTTTTGAAACTCAGCGCTTCTCTTTCTATTTCTGAAGAAAAGAGGCTTTATCGCGACTTGCGCGACTTCTTCTCAGACAATCGCCGAACACCATCCGCGGGGAAGTCGATGTTTCTGAGACTTCCGCGGGACGGTCTTAAAGGCAGTGTCCGGGCAACAACTCGATTTT